CACTGATAAAGATTTATAAAACTTAACACCACTAACTTTATTCACAACATAGACAAACTTATACTATTTTCTTTTTGACTAAACTCAAAAATAATCTAACACCAAGTTACTTAAAGAGCAATAGCAAGGTTCTCCTAAAAACAATTGAGCATTATAACCCAAAGGCTTAATAGCAAGTATAGATAAAATGGTTTAGCATTTTACTACTTTTCATCCCATAACTCACCACTTATAAGACCAACATAACTAATATGCATCAAGATAGGGACTCTTAATTGCATGACATGAACACAAGCAATGATTTAACACCTCATTGCAAATCATCTCTCAAGAGAGAGTAGATAATTAAAATTCTTGATCCTTCATCCCTAATGACTCTTTTTTCAGTTTCATCTTGACTAAACCTCAAGCTTGCGTTTATATTGCCTTCAGTTCAATCTAAGAAAAATTTATGAGAGAGCATATTAATGATTACTTAAATCAATAGACTATAGTCTTGACTAATCCACTTATAATCATACTTAGGAAGGATCCACTAATGTTGTGCTAAATAGCTATGAACTAGCTTATTTGCCACTCATAGCAAACCCAAGGAAGGTTTACTTTTACCCATAGTACATAGAACAACTCATGGTAACCAACGATAGGTTAATATTAATTCTACCAACTTAAAGTGTAACCTCAAGTTGCTAATGTGTTTCACTCACGAGCCCAAGTGCAAACTCATGCAAACAAAACATCTCACATCCATTCTATGGGTCCAAGCAAAAGCTCATACAATTTAGTATAAAAATATAACCAAAATCCATACCCAAGAAATGAATGTGAAGTCATAATACGCAAATATGCATTATTTTCATCTCCACGTATTCAATAAGATTAATTGCCAAATCTCATTAGATAGTACTCGTTGAAACATATCTTTTGATACTAAATGTAGCACATATAGTTTTCACCCTTTGTTATCTTATGGTAAACCACTAAGGTAGCCATAACCCTTTACATGCCACATGCCACGTGCTACATATCTTAGGGGAGTAGAGTGAGTTTCAAGGCCTTGGTCCACTAAATGAAGGGGCAGAGCCAAACTCATAAGTATAGAGCCAAGAAGTAAAAGAAGTGGAGTATAGAACAACTTCTAAGTATATAGCCCAAGGAGCAAAAGGACAATAGCATAAAGCAACTTAGAACAACTTTAGAGATTTTAGCATCCCAATGTCAGGATCAGCATTCAAAATGAAGCCAAATGGAATTTGACGCTATTTTAGTATATTGATGGCCTAACGTGAGAATATGGATACTCTATCAACTAGCATGGTATTAAGCTTGGGCTTAAACCCAAACCAAACACAAAATAAAGACAAACACGCAAATGAGAACTAGACTATGCCTTAGGTTGGTCAACCATGCCTAACTTACCCACTATCTAGGATAATCATAAAAACTTACTAAACATAGAATGGTGCTAGATTGCGAATCTGGAAGCAAAAACAACACCATCGCATTCATAACAATCACTACATTCCGTAAATATGTCTAGACACTTTCCATAAATAGTCAATAGGACTAAACGAAACCAATATATGGGGGCGAGGTGTTTGGTGGACATAATAAATTATCATGTAACAATATTGAGGAACTAATTTCAATATGCAAGGGTTCTTATTAAGTCAGTGCAAGACAAAACAAAAGAGAACTATGAGCTACATCAAGTATGCTCAACAAAACACACATAAGAGTTCCTACTTTATATTTATTTGGCTAAGTACAGATGTTAAACCCAATTTACTAACACTTGAACAGGAGGGATTAAAAAGGGAATTAATAATACCGATCTCCTACCACTATGGTAGTAAAAGAAGAATATCTCAAAGAACTAGCCAACAAGTAATTTCTAATACCTACAATCATATTTACAACATTAACTCAATAATCAATGTTTCTTCATTTACTATTTGTGTAATAAACCCTCTATGTTGTCATGTTTTTAAAGAAGTGCTTTAACTTTAGTAAAAGTCTTCACTAGGTACACTCTTTTCTAGATACACACTCAATATCCTTTATGAGTACTAACTCTTCATATTTAACTCTTGCATATAAAATAGGGTCAAATAGAGTCTAACACAATTTTAACATACTGGTGGCCTAACGCAAAGAAAAAATTACCCATTAGAGTAGTATAGAGTTTAGGCTTACACCCAAGTCTATGGGATAAACTTGAAAATTTATTAAATATAGAATGGTGCTAAGATTGTGAATCAAGACATAAGAACAACATTATAGGGTTTAGAACACTCTCTACATTTTATAGATATGCCTTTTGAGCACATCTAGACACTTACTATAAATAGCTTATGGATCCAATCGAAACCAACATATCCTTGTTAAAGTTTTTGCTAGATTATTGTTAGTGTTGAATAATTTGTCATTTTTCAATATGGTCGATTATTTTTTCAATGATGATTATACATCTCTTTATTAATGGGATGATTGATGATTTTTCATGATGGTTATTTTGTTCTCTTTAATGGCTTTTGGCTTAGTGCATTACTACATGTTCTTTATAATTTGCTCTGAATTAGTTTTTTGGGTATGTTATATTAGTAGGATATTCCTAACACTTGCTTAAGCAACTTAAGTTTCTTAGTATTATTTACCGGGATTTGTTTAGCTTCACTAATGTGATAGTTGGCATAAATAAATATTTGTTGTTCTTTTTATTTGTTTTGTTGATTGACGGCTAGTTCTGATAAATTTGGATGTTATTTCCTTTTGGTGATACATTGATGAACATTTTGCTTGTGAATTGATGATACTTTATATTCTTTGAGCTGTCTTTCATAAATTATTTAGCATATTATTTACAGTCTTTGATAATTAAGCTTTATTATTTAGTTTTCTTTTGTTAATTGGTTAATCCTATGACTTTAACCTTTAATGATCTTGGTGGTTCCTATAATACAAGTTTATCAAATGATCACTGTATTGGAATACTTTTGTATTCTAAGATAAAATTTATTCACTGATAATTAAGTCTCTAAGATATCATTGTCTCTGACTTTTATATTTTCCATCTTTTAATCTTTGGGTTTAGGCTAGCATTAACAGATTGGATTTGACACTTCGTGTATATAGTGAAATCTTTAGTTATAAGGTAGTTATTGTTTATTGATCGCATCACCTACCTCTCTTTTAATGTTCTTTATTCCATAAAAAGGGTGTGATTGTGTAAACAATTTTAACTACTTATTTACAGTAATCTATCTAAATCGTATTAACAAATTTGATTTGTTTTCTCAGAAGGGTTGGGGACTTTGGCTTCTTTTTTTATGTTACATGCAGCTAGGGGCATATCATCTTTGTAAGTTAGGTGACAGTTAGAGTAACAAAAATGACTTATGTTAATCATTTCTTTATTAGTGACGACTGGAAGGTATTTTAGTTGTAACGCATTTATATTAGACAGAGAGATTCTCTTTTTACTACTACAATAGCAAGAGATTGGTATTGTTAATTCTCTTTTCAATCCCTTTTATTCAAGTGTTAGTAAACTGGGCTTAGCATTTATTCTTAGCCAGATAAACATAAGGTAGAAACTCTTATAAGATAACTAAGAGTCAGGTTGTATATGTCAGTAAGAAATTCTTATGTGTTTCTTATTGAGCATACTCAACCTGACTCTTAATTATCTTTTGATCTGTCTTGCATTAGCTCGTGTATTGAGATTAATCCCTCAATATCACTATATAATAACTTATCGTGTCTACCAAACACCCTCACTATTATGCCTTATATGTTAATTCCATCTAATCTCATTGATTATTCTTATGGTAAACCACCATAAAGTAAAGGGTGAAAGCCATATATGCTATAGCTAGTTAAAATGTAATAAGAGTTATGTTGGGCCATATTTGCCTTAAGCATGTTTTTTGGAGGCAACTAGAACTAATTCCCTATGTGTATTTCAGTGTGGAGTCACCTATATAATTTTGATGTATTGATAATAATTTTTTACACTACATCAAATTTATAGTCTTGATAGAACTTTATTTTTTTATAATATATTGTAAGATAGAACTTTGGGGCTTCTATTTACACGGAATTATTGATATTGGTATCTCACATGACTCTATTTATATTGTAGAAATTGGATACAACACTATTGGTAGTGGAGGAGTTGCATTGTAAAATCCATGTAATTGTTGACTACTAAGTTGCATTCTTTGCATTACACAACCCATAAGTTATCATTAGAGAATTCTCTCTAACTACCTTAACATAGTGGGGATGTTTCTCCTATAACAAAAATGAAAGAAAAATCATTAATTAATTCATTCAAATGTAGAATGTTTCACTCATATTGCCACAAATGATGTAGACAATGTGTTTGTTTGGCCCAAACATTGTGTACCTCTAATGTGTGTTTATGGTTTGCACTCAAAAGTAAATAGTGAAAAACTTATAATTTATATGTACTTAAGGATGTACCAACAATAGATGTTCACCAAGATGTGTTGGCATAATTTGCATGATTATTATGTACGTCTTGAAAAATCTAGCAAATTGCTCAGTTTGTTGCCTTGTATCCATATATTGCTCAAAACACCACAACATAAAGCCATATAAATCTATGTTTCAAAAGAAAAGAAAAACCATAAGCGTGTGCTTTCGATATAATCATTCACATACAGTGTTACTCATTGCCATGTGCAAAAGAAAAGCTCACTTCAATCACAAGAGACAATGCTATGTACAAAAAAAAAAAAAAATGGTCACTACAACTCACAACTCTCAAACAAAAAACTATTGTTACTTATATATAATATGTAGTTTGGAGAAATAATTGTGTTTACAATTGATCTTTACCCTCTTACTCTTTGAAACCTGTACAACATGAGAGATCATGAAAAAATCACATACCTTACTGCAACACCCATAGTGGAGATGGCCATGAGAAAAAAATTGTGTTTGTTGCCAGCCGTGATCAATCCTCGTCAATGCTAACTGATGCAAGACCACCAATCAATCTTCACCCTCAAGCTCCTACATACACGATGATGCATCAGCCATGAGAAAAAACCTCATGCTAGTGCGCAAGTAAAAACCTTGGCCACAGTCATACGTGCTCAAAAGATAAGCCAAGAGCTTGCAAAAGAATGTGCCAAGCAAGAAATGGGTGGCAAACAAAAAACAGCAAGTAGGCATACCGAAACGCAAGCGATGTGTGCAGCGGCAGAGAGCAAATACAAACCTTATGGCTAGAACTGTGAGATACTGCCTGAGCTTAGTTAGCACTGCGCAAGCACCGTGAGCAACGCAAGCAAAACACAGAGCTGTAAACATCCACAACACTGTGAGATCCCTGTAAGCGCTAGTGCTGTTTGAGATTAGATGTGATTTGCAAAACACAAAGAGACACACCTAGCATCGCATGCCCGCGGCCATGGCGCCAGCTCAAAAGCCACCTGAGTTGCATTAGACAAAGCACGAAGATCCCTAGCGACATAGACTTGCATGCAGAAAACAGCATTGTTTTAATGCTTAAGGGTAAAAATAAGTTATTTAATCCTAAGTTTATATAATCTTTTTTCTTAAGGAGCCAATTTTTTTTGTTAAAAGTTGCAGATGTCTTTAAACAAGAACCTTTTTTGCCACAGGACTTTCCTCTGCTTCTTCCTGATCACCTCGCCTTCGCTTCAAGCTCCGCTCCAAAAACATCTCCTTCGTCTCCAAGTTGGCTTTGCTACCCAGCACCAAACTGGACAGTTCTGGCTGTAGCGCGGAATGCTTGACGACCCATGGATGCTTCTCAACTTCGTGGACTGGCAGCCTCTTTCTTGGGTCTAAGTGGAGCAACTGGAGAATGAGATCTTTGGCTTCGACGCTGATGTTTGTCCAGTCGCCCTGGAGTATAAACTCCCCGGACAAGATCTCATACAAGACAATGCCCACACCCCAGGCATCCACCATCTCGTCATACTCCTTATTAGCCACCATCTCTGGGGCATTGTACACCTCCGTCCCGACCTGGCCTCTCATTTTAAATGATTGTGGCCCCTCGCTCACCCAAGACAGTCCAAAGTCAGTTAACTTTATAGCGTCAAACAACTTCTCCTCAAACCCTAGGAGGATGTTGGCAGTCTTGATGTCCCTGTGAGCTATGCCCATGTCGTGTATCTTGCCCACAGTCCTAGCCACCTTTTTGATCACTATGGCTGCCTCATGCTCACTCAGCCTCTTCTTGTCACTCAACACGTCTTTCAGTGAGCCCCTGCACAACTCCATGACAAAGTGATAATAATCTTTGTCCTTGAAAACGTCCACCAGTTGAACCACACCACTCTTTTCCTTGCTCTTGGACAGTCTTGTGAGTGCTCTGATCTCCAGTTCTGCTTCCTCCGGATCTCCATGTGGGAGATCAATGTCGATGGGCTCCTTCAGATCATAGTCTGTGATTCTAGTCGACTTGCAAGCAAACAAGTGACCATCAATCTTTCTTTTGATTTGGTAGACTACTGCTTGGCCTCCCCTACCCAGCTCCTTTTCCACTGAGAACAAGTCCTTTATGCTTGTCTTGTTAAACTCCATTGCCTCCAAGGACCGCACCAGCGCGCTTTGCTTGTCCATCGATCTCTTTAATGATAACACCGCTGCCAGTTCGCCTACGCGCTTGTAAAGTAGCTTGTGATCCTCTACCGAATACGGATGCTCATCGAATTCTTTGTCCACTTCTGGCAAAGACCATGGCCATCTATCAGCCCCTACCGAATACAGATGCTCATCGGCTCTTACTATTCCTTGTAATTCTTTGTCCACTTCTGGCAAAGACCATGGCCATCTATCAGCCTCTACCGAATACAGATGCTCATCGGCTCTTAGTATTTCTTGTAATTTTTTGTCCACTTCTGGCAAATACCATAGCCAGCTATCAGCTTTTACCGAATACAGATGCTCATCGGGCCTTACTATTTCTTGTAATGCTTTGTCCACTTCTGGCAAGGACCATAACCCAAGCGCCATACCCTTGATTGTTTCTTTAGCCCTAGTCTTGATGCAGAAAAGCTTATAGACATGAAAAGGTAATCAAAAAGGAAAGTTCATGTGGGTGGAAAAGGCTCGTTTGGGACGATGAAGAATTCTCGGCCCGAGGCCGGAACAGCAACAGCACAAGAAGAAGTCTGTGCGAGAGAGATTTTGGATATGGAGCTTATCCTGGAGAGGAGATTTATTCGCAGATTTTTTGTTTTCCAGGAACGCCCCAGGCAATCCAGCTTGAGAGGGCCATAAGACCAATCAGGTTCTCATACTCCACGATATTTCTTCAAGCCGTTCCTGTTACGAGATGGTCGCTCAAAATTGCCGAGATTTTTTCCAACGGAGGAGTGGAGTAGACCTGTCAATCCCTCCAGGAGATCGTTGACAATGCTGCTGTCACGAGGTCACTGGTTCTCGCCTTCGTTCATGTAGTCTCACCATTCCCTGTAACAAATGATCGGTAACGTAAGAAACAGTTAAGCAAGGACAAAACCACGAACCCTGCGAGCTGCCTTGCTCATTTGCGTGGCCGCCTTGCTAAATGCAAAAACTAAACAAACTCCTCGTTCCTACTGTAACACCCAAGCCAAGAACCTGGAAGAATGCAACATATGAAACAGAACCTAGCAACAAAGAAAAGAGAACACAAACCTTGTAGAGTTCGTGAAGCAGCTGGCGAGTATAGTGACGCTGTATGATTCCTAGGATTGAGTTCCAATTGGCCATGGGATGTGCCAACGTTAAATGACGAAGACGAATGTGCTCCTTCCACATCGGCCAAAGCTATCAGACGTCTCTGTGGGATTGTAAGAGTTAAACATGCTTGCTTTACAGCACGAAAACAAAAGAGAATACCTGTACCAACGATCCTGTCACCCAAAGCAGGGACTGTGCAGCTACACCACGGCTCTCCTTCGGAAGCCAGGGAATGCTTGAAAAGCTGCACATAAGAAAAGGGAACTTTCAAAAACAATGTTCAACTTGCAAAGAATCTCAGTGTTTTTACCTCACAATAAGCTCCAGCGGGTCGATATGAAAAGCCTCAACGTAGACCTTCCTCCTCTGCTTAACAGAGATGATGAGCTTCTGTGTCGGACCTTTCGCAGGCTCTACTGCGCAATTATAGGGCCATGTTTGGTTCCATCGTCTCGACGAATCTCAAGCTGCTCAGAACGTTTGAAGAACTACCCCATCCGGAGCGCTGTAACTTGAAAGACATAGATTTCTCGGTTCCCGTAGTAGACCCTCCAACAAAAAGACCTTTGAAAAGTCCCAACAGGTAGGTTAAGTTGCGTTCTTCCAACTGTAGACGCAATGGAGCAATGCTGTAAGATAACACATTGTGAGAGATATCACAAGGATCGCACAACTCAATACCTCAAGTAGATGCATTGGTAGCAATGAACCGCGCCGATTGGATGCCTGCATTTTGAGACAATAGCAGAGTGCGGGTTCTCGCTCTTCTCCTGTGCTAACTGTCGAGACGAGTTCCATTCACTGCTTATTATGCCTCTCATCAAGATGCCCGAAGACTTCGCGGTAGAAAGTAGGACGGGATAAATGGCATGGCGGAGTTCGTTGTCGACTTGGAGCAATCCGATTTACATTTTCATCTTCTGCTGAGTTTGGAAAAACTGCAACTCAAAGCCTCTTGCTGATGCCAACGCAAGTTCCTGCCAATGATTTTCGAGTCATAATCAGCAACGATACACATAGAGCAGTACCTGACAAGCGTGGTTGCACTAGATGCCAGTTTCAAGGAACAATCTTGCGAAGAACCCTTTCTGGAATCTCTGAGAGATTCTACTATGCGAGGATTTAGCATTCGTAAGTCCGGTATGGAGAAGTAAGTCGACAACGCTAAGGACCTGATAAATGCAAGTCAAATGAATAGATGGATATTACAAAATTGCTTACTCTTTGCATGCAAAGTAACAACAAAACGGCCCTCTCGTTTTTGTAAAATCCCACACGAACCATTTGATCGCAAACAGTGATATTAAATTGTATTACAAACCTGTCCAACTGGATGGACGGATAAGACTTGACAACGTCCAGTGGATATGTTCCAAGAGTTCCTTCGTCTGGAACCTACAACGGGAATGCTGAGAGAGATACTAAACGTGAAGACTAGAAAGGTTTACCTCGATGACAAGATGTGGAGGCAGGCAAGGCTCATCCCAAGTATAGTCACGTGAACTATAAGGCTGCAGCACGTTCTCAGTTTTCTGGCACTTCTTGTGGTAGAATCTCAGCTTCTGATATAAAAACAGAGAACGTAAACACAGCTAAACACGAAAGAAGCCAGCATAAAAACCTCCTTCGAAAAGTTGTCGATTCGATAAGGCATGAACCTGTTTCATCATTTGTCACGATGATATAGAACGTCCCGAGCCTGTCATTTCCCGAACCAATGCTGTCACCCGCAGCATTTGCGTCGCTGACCACCACCCGAAGCATCTCTTTCACCAGTCAAATGGTTGTAAACTTTAACTTGGGTATCTCCAAGCCGATCAAGTGAAAATCCGCCAGACCAATCCCAGCCGTGCTCCCGCAAAGGCAACAGGAGAGTTCTGCACAAGAAAAAAATGATAAGTTTCCATCTACACTGCAAAATGTTATGACCTGGTTGTATCACTCCAGTGGACGTTAATGTTTTGTCCAACAGCTAGGGGATAAAAAATATCAGTGCCTTGCTGCTTAAAACAGATATCTTGTCGAGATGTGTTTGCCAGAACAAATCTGAAAAAGAAAAAACATTAGAGTTGACGTGATAATGAGATTATGCCTGGTTTACCTTGGCCTGAAAGTTACGGTTTTAGTTTTCCCTGAACAGCTTCCCATTGCAGGGATAGAGGTGATCGAAACAACGTATGCCCCTTTACCAGTCGGTTTGGGAATGTCTATAGAAGTATTCCCACCAGGTGGTTCGAGTAGAAATGGTTGCGACCAAAATGGTGTGGTAGACTCCAGGCCAGCATTTTGCTTTCACCAACTTCGCGAGTAGTTGGAGAATATATGCGTGCAAGCGGCAGAACGGAATCATTGCAATGACTGTCAGCGGCTACTGGTGATGTTTGTGTCGCTGGAGTAATAGTTTTGCACGAAGGCAAGTACGAGAGCATTCGGCCAGTGGAAGTCGCGATAAGTGGCTGTATACCCTGAGCTTCCGTCGCAGCTGCCTGTGCCTCCGGTTGCTGTATGTATCAGGCTCTGCTCTTCGGCGACATGTACGTCCACATCCCCGTCCAGAAAAGATAAGTTCAACCCGCTGCAGTAAGGAACGATCAAAGAGAGTCTGCGTGCCCCGCTTCCGTCACCTTATCAACCCGTGCATAAACGGGAAGACCTGACCAATACAATAAGTTAGACCAAGAAAAGGATACAAACATAAAATTCACCTGAAGGATTTCCGGGATCAAAGACGGTCATTTCATCGTCGACAGGCCTTTCTGTTCTTTCCCCTCTATCTCTAGATGCAGCGCGTTCGAACTTTACAGTTCTAGGTAAGAAGCTAAGATAGTAGCTTTTTTTGTTCAGGTCATGCACGACGTCCACCTCGTAAAAGAAGCCAGAATCGCCCTGGAGTTTTTACCAGCAAATGTTATATCATTTAAGCTTGTAAAAGTCAAAACATACCTTCGGGATGGACGTATGAGCATTCACTCCAGCACCCCTTTCGACGATCACGTCCATGGCACATGGAAGACAATTCATATAACAAGCGGAGCCTGAAGCAAAACGTTCCACATCTTCCATCTCTGAGGTTACTTGAAGCTTGTCTGACGAAGACTTTGAAGCATATATTGCAGCCGACACTTCCGTCTCCTCCACACTGACGCAACAGCGGAATGGACCTTGGCTGGGCCGAGATGGATAGCAGACAAACGGTCGCTGTGACGCCGAGGGATAGTTCGTCGACATCAACTTTCGACAAAGGTTGTGCTTCGCTCCAAAGATAATCTTTATTGGAGGGACGCCAGCTAATGCGGCCTGTTTCTGCCAGATGAACAGGGAGCGGGATGACTTCACTGGGAAGAATCGGGTTCATTGTCTGGAAACAAAAAGAAACAATCAGGTTTCAAAGAACGAAAATAATGGCCTCACCTTCGGAGCAATGCCGAAAGGTATTTCCAGACGAACTTCCATAGGAACAGAGGCAGATTCGGGACAGTAACCTTAACAAGTAAAAGAAATAAAGCAAAACGAGGAAAACTTACAGTCGAATGTAATCTTATAAGCTTGCTATGATGTTGAAGAGAAACTTCAAGCACGGCATGCGTGCTGAACTGCTTCCCCTCGTCGCTTCTGTCGGTTTCTTTGCCCGAGAATGAAACTTCGAAAGCTCGGCGGCCAACTAAGGCGATGGCCAATTTTCTTTTGTTCTGAAACCCGGCTGGAGATCCAGTGCGCCTCTTTAAAAAAACATAGTTATAGATAGATTAAACAACAGAAATACATATCATTCTAACTCTGAAAGGAAAAAAAAAAAAAAAACGTTAGAGATCTCTCAATTAACTTAAAAAATACTTACAAAGAGTGCGTTTTTTCTTAGCAGCACGACAAGACGCATAAAACCCCCGCAGCTCTCTTGTAATTTCGTAGTATTTGTCTTGAAGCTGCTTCAAGTGCGTCACATTTTTGAGAATTCCATTTGTTGTAGTCAATCTCTCAATGACTTCCTTTAGACGCAGCTGAGAGGTTGTATGCCTTGGGTCCACTGTCTGAAAAAGCAAATAAAGAAGTGTAAATTTTAAAGAACTTTAAATGTGTTTTCACTTGCAGCTTTAACTCCTCCAAGTCTTTTAGTTGCCTTTGCATTTGGGCCAGGATCTCCTCCAGAAGGATTTTCTGCATAACACTTTAACATTAAAAGTTTAAAACATTTTATAGTACGTTGTGTTGGGTTTCTTCATGAATGCTGATAATCCTGTCAGCCGTTTGGGCCATCTTCTCACTGTCCTTCATCTCATGCTTCATTAACGCCCAGATACCTTGTGATGTTGCCTCAATCCCTGCCTTGATATTTCGTTATTTGAATTATTTGAGTTGATACTTATAGCTACTTTTCTAGGCTCAAAACTCCTCAGAGGAGCTTAACTCACGTTGTAGAATAGCACAGACATGTCACCTAAAACCTCCACAAGGCTTTTCAGGTACTTGAGTTGGAGTTGGAGCTTCTGCTGCTCCTCAAACTCCTCCAACTCCTTCACCTGCAGCTGAAATGAAATCATATATGAGCTTTCCTGGAACAAAATGCCCTGGAACAAAAGCTTGCTTCTTTCTGTAAGGAAATTTAACCCTTACCTTTTATACTCCAACGTCTCTTGCTTATATATTTTTATCCACCTTTACCATCGGCATCCTCTTCACGCTCGTCATCACACTCTCGGTGATACTGGGGTCGTGCCAGAGCCAGTCGATGCTACTCCACGGATCATGGGGCGAGATCATCCGGGCTCCTCCTCCTCGTCAGGAAGAAGCCCGTGGGAATCTCTAGACCATCCCTGATCGGCCTGAAAGCACCGCTCACGTCCCAGTGAAGCTGGAGTGTGTCCTGTGGTGCAAACCTTGTGGAACATTTGAAAGCGGCTGGATCATCACTCCTCCTCCTCCTCCTCAAACTGCAAGTAACATCGTTGGAACTAACTAAAAAGAAAGAAAACTACGACAAGACTTACACTGGCTGATAGAGTTGGGAGAGTTTGTTCCCAGTTTTCTCGCTTACGCCTTTGAAGCGATACTCCCATTTCGCATCTTCTCGGGGCTCATACCATCTCCATTGACTGCAAAAGCATGCACAGGTAAACTCTGGCGATTGCTAGCAAGAAAACACACACCTCAGGAAAGAAGACCTGGGCTTCTGTCGCGAAAATTGGTGACTTTGTCGATCTCGATGGAAGTGGCACAGTTCCTTGTGAAAGGAGAGGAAACAAAAAAAAAAGGAAGCAAAGAGTTTAACTTTCCTGTTCAAGCACCAAGCACAATGACAGAACGTACCTTCCACCATGTCTGCAAAAACGAGGAGATGAAAGCTCTCTTTTGGATAAAAGCGAAAGAGAAGCGTAAAGAAAGTCACACCGACCATTTGTGAGAAGTTGCATTGGAGGCTCGAGCTCGTCTGCGCGCTGGAAGCGAGCCTTGGCCCTGTTGATAAACTCCACTCTATCAAACATTGACCTGGATCTAGATCTGCTGCTACCCCTGAGCAAGATCCTGCTGGATCTAGATCCTGCTGCTACCCCTCATCTAGATCCTGCTCATTGACCTGGATCTAGATCCTGATCCTGTGATTGACCTGGATCTAGATCCTGCTGCTACCCCTGGATCAAAGGCGACCTAGTCAGGATCCTTGGATCTAGCACCACCGAGAGGGACTCCGCCGAGAGAAGCTGGGACTCGACAGCACCCACCTCGCGAGCCTGAGACTCACGCCACGGATCCATGACTGACTGAGCGAGCGCAAACAGATCGATCGGGCCGGGGCTACATGGCGGTGACAGCGGCGCGTGGCAATGCTCGCGCATTCGCCAGGGTTAATCCTGGCCCTCCAAATTCGAATCATAGAGTCCCCATCAACGGTGGTAGCAGCGCTTATCCACCGGCTGGGCCGGTCGCGCCACCGACAGCAGCCGGTCAAGCGTTCCGGGATATTTCGCGTTACAAAGATCGGAAAACTCGTCATATCACCCATGAAAGTTAATGTAAACGCTAAACAATTATGATCCTCCCCACCAATCTGGCTGTGCATGATACGATAACTCCACTGCTTGCAAGTGGAGGCATTGGAAACTTAAGAGTTATTCTCGGTTGCCACCAAGGAATCAAGGGGATTGATTTCAGTTTGCCTCATGTTATGTCTAGAGCTCCAGCTCTCCCGGGTAAGCTCTGATTTGATTCATTACTTCTATGTAACTTATTTTGGATTCAGGAGATGTGAGCAGTGATATGTTTGCTAAAGTTCCACCGGGTGATGTTATTTTTATGAAGGTGAGCTTGTGATTTGGGATATGAAACACTCATATTTGATCTTTATATAGTTTATTTTGCACGATTGGAAGGATGAAACATGCATGACTCTGCTGATCACTGCCGAGTAGTGGAAAGGTGGTGGTACGCATCTGGCACAACCACAGCTTTGGCTCTAGATTTGCACTTAACATGGACTTGCTAGCAACATGCTAGCTTATGTTGAAGGGAAGGAGCTAACCTTAGAAGAGTTTAAGGCGCTAGCAAATGCTGTTAGTTTTGCTCAAGTCAAAGTTGCTCTTACTATAGATTTGTGTATTCTATAGATTTTGCATTTAGAAAAAAGCCTGAAATCCTTTTAATTGGGAATGAAGCTGAGCGATTTGAAGGGTATCTTCTTCATGCCTACAGTATTGAGGTTGAATGCGCTCTTTGTGTTATTTATATCGTTCTTTTCTCGAGTACTGGAAGTTATTGTTCCTCGTTAAATTATTTAATACGACCATAAATAAGCCTTTCCTAGAGCTTCAACATCTTATAAAGGTATAAAAAAACTCCTGTTTTTTTTGTTGAGCGGCAATATCCGAATGGAAGAAGAGGCCCAGGTACTATAGCAATTTGAGACACCGACGCTCTTGGATTTTCAGGTTGCGTTGCGGTCTCTTGGGGATTCTTTCACTTTTGTTTCTCTTTTCCCTTAACTGGAGCTTAGAACTTAGGGTTGGAGAAGCAAGAAGCAGCAAGCAAAAAAAGGGCCGGGAACAGCCAACTGAGAGAATGGAAGTCGATGGCAGAGGGACTAAGCTCTCACCGGCATCTAAGGCTGAGTCCCAAAAACAAACAGGCCTTGTACTGTGCTAAGAGTTGGATTCACAAACTTGAGACGTCGGGATGCATGCATGCAACGAAAACAGTGACAAGAATGTTAAACGCTTCCATCTCTCAACAATTGTGGTATTGATTTTGTATACTATTTGATTATCAAATATGGAAGACCATGATAAACTTGTTATTGTCATGAATCCGATCTCTCAACCAGATGGACACTTACGCGTTGGGAATTGTACGAAAGTATACCTTGTGCCGGTCAACTCGTCACTGCCTCCATGTCTCCACATTTCATGTATAAATTTGCAGGAGCTTGAGGCTCATTTGCAGAGGGTCTGGACGGTTCAGACAGTCATATTTGCGGATGTGGTGGAAATCCACAAGACAAGGAGAAGAAAAAGAGGAAGAGTTTCTTTCCGTACCAAGGTTCTCTTTTTCGTACGTGATACCCAGGCAGCACTGTCAAAAGCCAGTCAGGGGATCGCGACTCGCGAGCAGAGTCTTTTGTGTGAGCGGAGTGAAATTTGCGATTGGATAAAAATGGCAGCGAAGGAGGAGGATTTGGAGGAGAAACCTTCGCTGCTGGGCCGCATCTCGCAAGCGGTCAAGGAGAATTTCATGGCATCGGCGGTAAGAAACCTCTTCTCTTGTGGATCCTCCAAGGTGGAATCTACTTCGCAAGAGCGAGGGATTAACACCAGTGTGCTCATGGCGAAGAAAAAGAAGAAAGAGCCCATCTCATCGCGCGGTCCTCCCAGAGGCCCAAATTCAGTCGTGTAGAAACCAAAAGAACAGGAAAAACTACTTTATCTCTTGTCGTAAGCTCAGAGAATATTCAGGCATATTTTGGAGTATATTCTAGAATTCTAATTGTGAAATATTAAATATTCGTCAGTTTGGATCAATAATACAGCATACCATGTTGAAAAACATTAGTATTTTCTCTCTTATAGTCTTATAAAAGAAGATATTTTGCTGGGTGGTCATGAAAGCTTACAATTGTGCTGGTGGGTATTTCATGTTGTATTTATTGAGCTTTATACCTTCAAGTATTTAATTCGTAATTTTGATCAATAATACAGCATGCTATGTTAAAAAAACTTAGTATTTTCTCTCTTATAGTCTCACAAAAAACAATTTTCTTTTGCTGGGTGGTCATCAAAGCTTACAATTGAATCACAAGAAATGAATACAGTGT